TTTGAATAAAGTTGTGTTACAACCATTATGTCTTCTACAGTTAATCTGCAGCTTAACACTGCATTAGTACATATATTAATGTAAATGATTTTTATAATATAATAAGAGTAAAGATATATATAAGAAAACAAAAAAAAAGAGAATTGTTATAAGTCTTTTCTCATATAATTAAAGAATAAGCAAGACTCTTAAATTTGAATAAACTTTAATCAAAGATTTCATTCTACTGCATCAGTTGTCTTGAAGATTTTTAAGTTCTTGAACTGGAATTTACTTATAATAAAGAATATAAAATATTTTTTCTTACTTTTTTTTTTTTATGAGTGGACATTAAATGCGAGACTTTATTTAAATAAAAATATTTATTGCCATTACATTAACAATCTTTACCTAAGCAAATTAATTGTAGCCTATTGCAGTAGGTGATACATAGAACTCAAAAACTTCTTATGAGGAAAAAAAAAAGGCAAATAAAAGCTAGTCACTAGTTATTTTACTAGCCACTTATATGTGTTCACTAAGTATTGGTGGTAAAGAAGAATGTGATTGGGTAGAAAAAGTCGAGTTTTAATTACTGGATCCAGTAATCAGTTGTGTTGTGGTGGTACAACCTGTGAGTCTTTCCCTTGTTGGGAGCCTTGATCCCAATAAGGCATTATCTTTTTATGCTGATTCTTTGGAGGAGGTAAATTGATCATGATTTTTTATGGTGATTAGGAATTGAAAAAATAAGACAAAAAAAGTATCCCATACAAGGTTTTCTTGAATATGTAATAATATTGATGAAGACAGAATTCTTAAAGAAATCACATATTCAAATGCATACCTCTGATTAAATATTTCAGACAGGACTAGGGCTTAACCATGCAAAACCTTATGCATATAACCTTTTTTGCTTACTAAGTTACCATCTTTGACCATATACCTATATCTCTTCTCACACTTGGCAAGCTTTGATATGTTATATGGTGATTATAAATGGAAAAATCCTAACATTTTATGAAAATTTAAGTCCAACTCTCAGTCAAAATACTGTTGCTAAAATTTTTTCTTGGTTAGATACTTTGAAGTTAGGAATGAAAATCTTTTGGAGAAGCCTATACTTCTTAGAAAACTTCTATCAACTAGTCTCCAAAGGAATATATCTGGTTAAGATAGTGTCACTACTTTGTCTTGGGGTGGATGAAATAGTTCGATAAAAAGAAAAGAGAGATTTAGAAAAAAAATCTCTAGAGAAAAGGGAAAACTATTCGTTGGTAAGAAAGGAGAATTGGAAAAAGAAAAAAATGAAAAGGAATTAAAAAAAACAAATTACTGTTTTGTTTATAATGACCAGTCATATATAGAGCCATGTTTTATTAGAAGAAAGCATCCCTATACTTTTTTTCTTTGATCTCTGACTTCTGCCATATGCAAGTCTTGGTCTGCTCACACTTTTCTAAACAAAAAGTATCTCTTAGATGTGTCTCTTTCAGTTTCCTAAAATACCACCTCTCTGGGTGACAGAGTTTCATGTGGTGTTAGCACATCTCAGACTCTATACAGTCATAAGGTTTCATCTTTTAACAAGAGGAAGAAAGGAAAAGTGTGAAAATTTCCTAAAAAAGAAGTTTTCTGATAAAGTTGGAATAAGTGGGAAAGAGTTTTTTTAAAAAATTGTTTATGTTTTTTCTTATTTAAAATTATTATAAAAAAATTTTTTTAACAAAATGGATACAATTAGGAAAAAGTTTTTTTTTATTAATATAAGTTATCTATTATTAAAATTATCAAATAATATATAGTAAATAATTAGAAATTATATTTAATTTAGAATTATATTATAAATTAAATTTCTTTTATAATAATAAGAAAACATGTATAGTTTGAACTATTTAATTTATTGGATTTAATTTTAATTGTATTTGTTATAAAAGAAGTATATTTATAAAATATTATTATAAAAATTAATTTCAATTATTTCTATCACTTGTTATTATTAGTTTTTAGAATATAATATAATATAACTATTCTTATTACTTGTAATCTTGATATTTTTACTTAAATTTTAATTTAATCTTATTTTGATACTTATTAAATTTACTTAACTTTAATAATTTTTGTTTAGTTTTTTACTATTTATAATTAATAATAATACTTTATATATATATATATTTTAAATTATATAAAATACTATTATTGTGTTATGTCTTAAAGTATTAAATTGAAAAATATCAATTAAAAATCTATCTATCTCTTTTTATAGTTTCTGTTATAAAATCTATTGTGTCAATTTTTGAACTATAAACTTTTATCAGAATTAAATTAAAAGTTTATCTTATATAACCTTTCTATTTTAATATGTTTTTAGTTTGTAATTGTTAAAAAATTAAAAGATTCTATTTTATACAACTTAATTAAATTTGATCTTTTTTTTTGATAATTAAACATAACATATATAGAAAGTCAATTAGCTTATATATAATGCCTTAAACTCTATAAAAAAAACCCACAATTCATTAATATACCTTTATAATAAAACAACTACTCAAACTGTCTCTTAGTTTCTGTTGCAGAAGTTCTTACTATTATATGTTTTTTTTTGTTTTCTGTAAATATTGAACCAGAAATATATATTTGAAGATCCGAAATACTACCTATTGTATTATTAATCCATATGCATCTAGGATTTTGAACTGATACTGAAATAATACTGACTTATAATAAATTTAATATATGGGTTGTAATATATTATATTAAACTCATAATAAATTTAGTACCAATTTGATACTGTTGGAAACTTTATATACATTTATATATTATAAACAAATATATAAAGTTATTTTATAATAATTTAACAAAATAGAAAAAATATTTATAATAAATTTAAATTTTTTAAATATAAATAATATTTTGATAGATTAATCAGTTTAAGAAATATTAAAATTTTTGTAATATAACAAAATAGATAACAAGTTTTATAATGACCACTAATCTAGAAAATTTCTTTTCACAGTATTTTATTTTATTGTAATCTTTCTTTAATAAATACAAATTATAATTTTCAGTTACATATTATTTATTTCTATAGTGGTACATATTGGATATGCAGTATTTGTTATTTTTTTAATAATTGAGCACCTTTTATTTTAATAACAGTAACCCAAATAAAGTGCCCCATAAATATGCTCTCAAGCTGACGGATTTTATTTATGTTGAATAAAAGGTGTTTTCTTTTAACTTCATTTCCATTTCGATAATAACGTTGCGTTAATACAATTTATTATGAATAAAATTGGTTCAAACAACTAACGTAAACATAGGAATAGTTAGGATAAATAAATTATGGAATATAATAGATGTAACAGAGGGCTTATATTCTCACCAGGTTCGCCCCGCGTACGCGGGGCCGGCGGACCATTCAAATTTTCTATCTTAACTCGAGTATTATAAAAGATAGTTCCTTTCCATTCTCCTTTGATTGTTTTTAGAACTTCTCTTTTATCAACTGAATAGACAACTCGAGCTGTCCAAGGTACATTCATTTGAAGTCTAGATGTTAACAATGAGATCTTAACACTTTTTTTCGGCTCAATGATGGTTTCAACATCCATGCTGATTTTCACAGGAAAAAAAATTTCATTGCCTGGAGTCCATGTCCATTCATGTTCACTAGATGTTTCAAGTCCTGCTGGTAATGGCAAAAGGTTAGAGCTGACGTTAATATCCCCCAAAGCTTGTGGAATTCCTGAAATTAATTTGATTCGTGCTTCACTAATAATGCCTTGAGTCTGTATAAACATAAAACTTCTTCCTATCTGTTCTCTGATGGAATCTGTCCTTTTGACTTCTTTATCATGGTCATTTATGAGTGTAGTTGATGAAATGGTCAATGGTTTGTCTATAATCTTTTCTGCTTTTTCAAACTGGTATTCAAGATTTCTAACCATAATCGGTTCAGAGAGAACCACAATAGAGTATCTTTCCCAATACTCAGCACGAATATGCATGTCGTTTTTTCCGGAATCTGTATTTGCAAAATATTTATAAACCTTTCGGATAAAAAACAGAAATTCAATAATAACTACGAACTTAAGGTACGTATATAGGTGCCATGTTCGACGGACTGAATTGACCACAAGTCATGTTCCTGTTTTATTAATCTAAAACTTTGCCAAGTGCCGCAGTCGGTTGATTGATCTAACTATAAAAAAAATAAAATAGTATGAATAATAATTATTATTTTCACCTTACTGTATTAACAAAATAAAACTTACAGCAGCACCTTCATAACTTCCATGCGCAGTAAGATATTTATTATGAATTGAACGGATTCTAAATATAGTTTCTCTAGGATCTAGCGGTAGTATAATCCAGTGTTCCCATTCTCTAATAACATCCGCTGTATTGACGAAACCTCGAGTAGCAGCGCGTAGGTAATTTCCGTGAAAAGTTCTAAAAGCTACCTACGCATAATCAAATGAATTTAATATAAAAATATATTTATAATTCTTAATATTATCGTTAACGAACCTTGAGATTTGCAAAATCAGCTGGGATCATTTTTAACAAAATGGCAGGTGGAATTGCTGAAAAGTTTCACGTACAGGACACTGATTAACTTTATTTTTTTTTCTGGTTAATTTATATTGTCAAACGAAAGATTGTTGTAATTGGTCGTATTGATTACTATAATTAACTAAGTTTTTGACAGTTAATACGTAATACTGTAAAAGGAATGGTATTGTTATAAGGCCGAGGGACCATGAGGTTTTATCAATATCGTTATATATTGTACTATTATTTAATCAAATTATATAAAGTGGTATTCAAAATTATTTGGAATTTTTCTTAATATATACTGTATAACTCAGTAAAAACTTATTTAAATCAAATAAAAATATAAATATAAATATATGAATACTATTAAATTACTTTTACTTATAACTAGTTTAGATTACATTATAATTATTATTTTAAATAATTATTTTAAATAATTATTTTTAATTAAAAATTTTATATTATATATTGATTTTATAACTTGATTTCCATAAAACCCAAGTGTCTTTATATGATTTTATATGTTTTTTTATAATAAATAATATGAAAATAATATATTTTTTGAAATATAACATCAATATACTGTATATACTGTATATACTGTAATATTTAAATAATATTATTGGTTAATATAAAAATATTTTATATTAAAATTATTTATTAATACCAAAAGATTTATATTTGATTTTTTTATATATTTTTAAATTAATATTTATTAAATAATAATATAATTTATAATTTTTTAAAAAAAATTTTCAAAAAATTTTGGATACTACTGTAATTACTTCATGTTGAATTATACAGTATCTCATGTTGGTTCCTTACATTATACAATTATAACAAAAACAATAAAAATCAAAATACAATTAATTTTTTTAATAAAAAATAATTAATAAAATATCAAGAAATCCTTTTTATAATTATAAAAATAATATTTTTTATTTTTTAAAAAAAGCAGTTTAATATTCTTTTAATAAATTTTGATTAATTATAAAAAGAAAAAAATATACAATTAAATAAAATTATTTATGTTATCTAATCTATCATTAAAAATTTAAATTCATAGATATAAACTAAAAAATCATATTTATTTACTTTTCTTTCTTTATAAAATTTACAAATTTGTAAAATAAAATATTCGAATATTATAAATTTTAATAATTATTTTTAATACTTTTATAAGTATTTTGTTAATTTAAATATAATTATACTAGACTAGATAATGGCCATCATAACAGATTAATATTAAATTAAGTAAGATACAGATATTAATAATTTCTATATATTTATATGAAACAAACATATCATTATGATTTAACATATAATTTTAAAATAAATATACGATTATAATTTTTATAATACATTATTATTTATTTTTAATTATAGTACATATTACCTATTTTAATAAAGTAACCAGGATAAAGTACTTCATAAATATGCTTAAACTGGCAAAATTTTGATAATAAATTGTGCATTTTTTTCTATATTAATTCTATCTTTATAATAGCATCTACGTTTATATTATTCTATTAATTTCATTTCATTCTGATTAATACTGTAATCAGTTTTATTTAAATTCAAACAAGAATTTAAAACCGGCTTTATGAATAATATTGGTTCAAATTTCTAACGTGAACATAGGAATGATTGAATAAATAAATTATGGAATATAGTACAGTAGATATAACAGAGGGCTTATATTCTCACCATACAATCTTTCGACCTTGACTCGAGTATTATAAAAGATAGTTCCTCTCCATTCTCCTCTGATGGGTTTTAGAACTTCTCTGTTATCAACTGAATAGATAATTCGAGCTGTCCATGGTACATTCATTTGAAGTCTAGATGTTAACAATGAGATCTTAACACTTTTTCTCGGCTCAATAATGGTTTCGATATCCATGCTGATTTTCACAGGAAAAAAAAATTCTTTTCCTGGATTCCATGTCCATTCATGTTCATTAGATGTTTCAAGTACTTCTGGTAATGACAACAAGTCAGAGCTGACATTAATATCCCCTAAAGCTTGTGGAATTCCTGAAATTAATTTGATTCGTGCTTCACTAATAATGCCTTGAGTCTGTATAAACATAAAACT